GTGTGTGGGGGATTTGCCTCAAAGTCGCAGAATCTCAATGAAATATATATTTATTAAGAGGTTCTCGAGTTGTTAACAGCCCCGTCCTTGCAAATTTAATTTGCAACAACTCTATTGAAGTCTGACGTCATAGTTGAGGGGTACAAATTCTATTTCGTATTCGAGTATTCTTTCTTGTCATATCTTGTCTCGAAGCTGTCTATCCTGAATGAAGGAAAATTCTGCCAGACCACTTTTCGAATTTCATTATCCGCGTTTAACTTAATTCCACAACCAGATGTCCGCACGGTATCGTAAAATAGATGACAGTGTCCTTCACACTTCTTTATTTCTAATCAGAAGCTGTGTAACCTTTGCAATTAGTACAGTGTTGTTAAATAAACTAAACATTAGTATCTTTTACACGTAGGATTACTCTTTAGTATCACGTATGTGTTATTAGAGAGGAATTTACTGTTATTAATTCTATGGTTATCATACACAGATTCTGATATTAGGCTTAATTCATTGCAAAATTATACAATTCTGCACGATAATTTACAAAATAATCACACGTAAATTGATCCGCGTAAAAAAGTAGGGCGTAGCATTTGCAGTGTTGTGCAAAGGCAACCCGAGAATCGATGAAAACTCGAGACACCGAGGCAAAGGACATTGTCGCAGTAACTTCCATACTCACGTCCAATAAAAATGACGACATGACAGTAACAAGATGAGCTTTCGGAGGCGTTGATCTGCCTGGCGAGGTGACGCAGGATAAGGGGCAGATGGTCCGGTTAGTCCACACAGCAGAGAGGTGGAAGTGTTCAGAAAACGGACGTCGTCTGCCCGGGGCTCGCTGGCACAGCCCCGGAAGCCACTAGATGTTCGACTGGGAGGCCAATATTCAGGAGCAGCTCTGGGTCTACGCCTGCGCCCTTCTTCGCACTACAACTACGAACCCCCGTTGCCATGGCAACAATACGTTATCCATGCCAGTAGAGTAATTTAGCGTCCTTTTAAAAAAAACACATCTGTGTACGATGTTGCGAGACAAAGTATTCAGGGAGGCCTTAATCTGACCGAAAAATTCTCTTGAGCAAATTCGAGTTAATTCTTCCAGTTTTTATTTCATTTTGTTGCATTTATGAAGTTAGGGCTTAGTCCGGGGCTCGTGACGTCACTATACTCTTAACCTATGACGAACCACACTCACAAAGGTAACAATAATTAATAAATAACTTTAGATGTAGGGAACAAAACGAATAAATCTCTATGAAAATACTTCATTTTGCTTGGTGTGATGTGTACGCAGAGACGAACGGAATGCAATAAATATCTCCTTGAAGCACAATCT